TATATATATATATATATATATATATATTCAGTTATAATCTTCATTCTGTACGTATAAATATGGAATGAGAGCGGCGTCCTCAGGCTAAGGACAAAGTGTAATATTTTGATACGGATGCAGCCATGATATCTACTCATCTGTTAACATGTGATGATGTCATGATGTGTCATGATGAATAAAATGCCTTTTACTGTTAATTGGAGCCACTTCCTGTGAGGTAAACCTGGAGGTGAGCAGCTGCCTTCTGTAACTTTAAGCAACTTCTCTGATCCGAGTAAGATTCTAATTTCTATCAGAATCTGTTATCATGTCTCCTGGTTATTTAATACATAAAAGTTATGAAGTGATATTTAAAGAGTCTGTTCCAAGTGATCTCTTTTCAGGGAAAAGAATCAGAGAGAAAGAGCATCAAGGTGTAAACACAGAGCCCATCTTTAACAGGTATATTAATGATCCATCCATCATTCCTTGCTGACCGGACTTCTCCTTTAAATGAAAGGCCAGGCGGTGATGGGCCTGTGGAAGGTTGTCCTTCTTGAGTTGCCGTAGGAAGGCGGGTGTCTGCTGGGCCACCATGGGGCCACAGAGCGTGCGGTTCCTAGGAACCAGACGAACAGCGCCCCTGCTGGAACGAGGACGTCTACAGTCCAAATGAGGGTGGTGCCCTTAGCCTTAAATTAGGATTTTATTTTTTTTCCTATGAACTAGAAAAGCTTGATTGAGTCCAGATCAACCATCGCATAAAAATTACTTTCACCTAATTGTTGGTAATAGAATGAAGATTTTTGGTCAAATAAAAAGTAACTTTTTACTATTTAAACAGACGTAAGCAGAAGCCTGTACTCCTGAGTGTTACAGATGAAATGGAGCGAGGACGGTTAGCTGGATTTTATCCTCAGGTAACTTCATGAACACAGGAAGAGCAGATTCTGAAATAAAACATATTTAACAAATATCTGTAGCTTGCTGATTAACTGAATGAAGCCTTCAGAGGTTTCTTATTATGCTGGAGAAGATTTCTGCATGTTTTCACAGGCAGGTTGATCTCTGGTGATGAGCTCCGTGCAATCACCCTAATCTCTTTAACTCATCCTCTCAGGTTTAAACAGGCGCTGCTACAAAACACTCATTTTACTTCTCCTCCAAACAAACACTGACGCAGAATGAAGTGATTGCATTAGGACCAGATCTTCCAGATGCGCTGCATAAATGTAAAAGTTTAATGTCTCTTTTTCTTTCCTATGCGCCCGTCAA